TCACTGTCATGCTTCTGATGAGTACATGAGGAGATAGGTGATAACACTAATTCTTTCCGCAATAATGTACAAGTCTCATAACAACACCAATATCTACAACAAAATCTTTGAGCTCATTCAAATTTATTCTCTAGCCGTGTAGAGTTTCTTTCCTCCACGCGGCTGGGTCTGCAGGTAGATGAAAGTGCATATACCGAAAATTATCATGACAACCATCATGATGGCTATGCAAGTTGAGCATATGATAAACGAGGTTGACCATTCACGATTGACAACTTCCGTCCTGCAAATCAGCATGCCACGAAATATTTTAAATGGCGTATATCCTACCACGATAAGCGCTGATACTTTTGCGAAGTGCTCGGCTTTGGGCTCGTTTGGTCACCCATCATGGGTCGAAGTGTCGGCTTGGAAGTAGCTGTAAGCAAGCTTCAGTAACCGAGAGTCTACAGTATGCCATGTACCCTGCTTCTTCGGAATGCTGTTAACCCAAACCTTACGCCTTACGTATTCGAAAGAAAAAACACATTAAAAGCGTGATGCATGGAATGTGATAAGACCACACCGGATATGCGCAGTCATGTGTTGATCTGTCATCTATTCGCACGAATCTGTCTATTCCAGAGTTTTGAATTATGGATTCGGCCGCACAATACAGTTCCTAAATCGGACGAAAAAAATCGCAAAGCGATGGATTGGTCCTTTGCGGCAGATAATCATTTCAAAGATTAATCTATTGTAAATTATCACAAGCTCATAAAGCTCAAAGTTCAGAAAGGTTGTAGAAGTTTCAAATCTGTATTTATGGTACCCGCTACATATAGATGAAATTCTTTTTGAAGGTCTAACTGAACCTGATAGCGGGTGGCGACAGTCTGACTAAAGCCCATCTTATTAAGATGTTTTTTTTTGTAAATATGCTTTTCGCTTAGTGGACGGAATAATTTTCTCTAAATCAACCTTCCGAGGAAAACTTTTTGAGAATAACTTAAGAAAGTTGCTTTTGAAGAATCGCACTCTTTTAGGAAAATTGATTATTTGGCAGTTTCTCATAAAATGACAACTATTCAAAGAGTGCGATCACTTTCTTTGCTCGTTAAAAATAGGGGTCAGAAAACTTGAACATGTTGTTTTGGATTTTATTGAACAGTTTGATTTTTCGGGCTTGCCTCAATTCGCCAAACCTTAAAACCTCAACCTTCTTTCTTCAATCTTATCTCTGCAATCAGAGCTTACCAAAGAGTAATCAAGAGGAAGATAGAAATTCTGAACTTGCTTTTCTAATAATCTTAACGACAAGCAAAAACACTGTGATAGGAATAAGCAAATTTTTGCAAAAATGGTTCTGCAAAAGTCCCAACCAACTTACCCCGATCAATCAGATACAGCAGAAAGGAGCAAGCGCGAAGTGATTATGTATGAATAATTTTAAACTATATTGCAGTCTCTAAGCACCAAGTTCATGATCATAACATACCTATAGGTACGACTTTTACATGAGTTTAATATAGGTACGACTTTTACGTAGGCTTTTTTGAAGTGAAACACTATGAACTTGGAAAACGTAGTGACTTTTCTGCGCGAAAATACGACTTGTGGGGTGCTAAAGGGAAACACTAGGAATAATCCAAAGGATTGTTAATATTCTAGACGTGGTATTGGCACTGATAAAGAAAACTCCCCCAAAATATTCATAGCACTTACCGCGTTCATTCGACAGATTTCCTAGAATCAAACAGCAGGCTCGTCTTTGTGGTAATAATAACTAAACAAGCTTTCTGATAAACTTTATAACAAAAGAGCAAAGCTGCAACCTACCCTAATTGTGTCAGAATGATTATGTTTCGGTCGCGTGATCACTTGCTCTCGCAACCGAACTTCTATTTTATTCGTTCTAGAGATTATCTGGAAAGAGTTGGATTTTGGAAGCTCTTGAGCTTGTGACTAACCGTTATACGCAGTGATTTTCTACTGGTCTCCCTACACCCTCCCACTACTGGAGGTGGTGATGGCACTTCGAAGTTTTCGGGTGAATCGACATCGACCTTATAGAGCTCCTAAATCATTTTCGTCATACAAACGTATTATTAAATATAAGTTCTATTATCTCGTAATCGATTGTGTCCGATGGATTTATGCGTCACATGACTAGTCTTTCCTGTCTTTTCTGTTCTATGTCTTTTTGCACACATTTTTGCA